TCGTCTACCCTGCCTCACATGGAACCGTATACCCGATCGCCCTCATCAGGCTCATCTCCTGGATATTATCTTGTGTGATGTGTGATGCTAAATGATGGAACCAAGTCATCACTTTCAAGATATATCCAATCGCAACTGGTAGACTGAAGTGCACCAGTATCTGTTTTCACGGAATTCTCGGTTGCTATTGCCCAGTGATGGTATGCAATATTTGTTTCATGCTTCGTCTATTAAAATCTGTATATAGGACAACAACTCCTGACGTCGCCTACATCTGGAGCTCACCCAATTGCAACCGTTATGCAACTAGTGACCATATCCAGTCCGGAATATCCAGTTAGGCTACACTCCTGCATGAGTAGCGCCAAAGTACTTCCTCCCATTCATCGTTCATGGCTTGTAATCATCGCCAGCGCCAATCACCTCTTCCATGATCACGAATTTCAGAAGTAGCAAGTCGGTTCCTTGTTACACCTTGGATACCGTTCATCTCTCCACGGCTCAGTTCTCGTGATTTGTATTCTTCTTCTCGATGAACACAGTGAGATCATACTTGTGAGATCTTTACACATGTCCACAATTATATCGGGGCGTGAGTCTATTTAACGAGATTGATTAACTCTGTTGTCCTCACCAGCCGCTATCAGTGCGCTTGTCCTTTCCAACACGGACAATGGTTGCTCATACCTTGACGATCGACGATAATAAAGTGTCAATGCTCAAAGACTTTAATACAGAATTAAACTTGGAGGTGCTCTATGCCCTGTTGCATGGTGCGCAATTCCTCTCAAATTTCGGGTTTCCATGTCATATTCCCGGATACACACATATGTAGGCTTATACACTGGAATCATCGCTGTCACCTTGTGGGTATATCTGTGAGTGGACGTTATCACTGTAGTATTCAAAGCTAACTTGGATGGTACAGATACTAGTGGAAACATACATCCCAGCAAGATCATGATCATGGTCATTATATCCCTTTATGTCTTGGCCACGATCGATTTCACCCTCATCTGGTCCATTGGACGCTCTGCATTCACGGTCAATGGAAAGAGTCTCGGGGCCGTATTTCTGGCAGTGAATGGTCCTGCCACAACAACACTAGCGACGGGTATAACAGCTATTGTCTCTGTAATCCTTGCCGACTTTACCACGGTATGGGACGTTCTTTGCAGAAAGTTCCCGTCAGCTCACTACTATCCAAATTCAGATTTGGCGTTGCTGGATGGTGTGGGGACAGCGCTGGGTTGTCGTCGTGTTCCCTATATTTTTCCTGCTGTCTGGAATTGGTACTTGTAATAACCCAGATCTGCCATCATTTCGACTGATATCAGATTTGATCTAGGTTTCAAAATGATCGATGTACTAAAACGATTCATCAACGCAACGGACTATAGACTTGGTGTGAATCTATACTCGTGTTTGATTCTAGCGACGACGTTATGGTGCACCTTTTCTATTCTCTATCGCATTTGGACTGTACTAGGACGGGCTCATGGTGGTATTGGAATATACTACCGTGTCATAGAAGTCCTTGTTGAATCCTCACTTCTCTATTCGGCATCCTTGATCCTATATCTAGGCCTTTTTGCTCACGACAGCTCGAATTCGGCATTAGTCTACTGGGACTCGGTTGCGGCATTTGCAAGGGTGAGCAAATATTCTTACGTTCCGTCGACATCGAATAGACCTGCCATGTAGGGTGTTGCGCCGACGCTTCTTGTCGGGCGCATCGCGGCAGGACACGCGCGACCGGATGACTCTTGGAGCGATGCTTCTTCGACAGGGAATAGCACTGGGGGAGATGTATGCGATCTTGAGGCTCAGACAGAGAATACTGGGATAGGTGAACCCAGCAGTATAGTCGGCTCGGAATAAAGGAGTTGGAAATTTCCCCAGAGTAGAGTCCAAGGGGAAGTTCAATACTTAGTATTTACCAGCGAAATAGTAAATTTCTGTAATGCCTGCCATCTTACCCAATTCGAACTTGTTTTAGCACTACCATTACCTCATCGAACTTCAATCCTTTTTATGCCTGCATTCTACCTCAGTTTATGGGACATCCGGACAAGATATCCGCACTGCTCGAATGGTGTTCAACTTGCGGTATAACAATTGATCCACGGCTGCGTGTTGTTTGCCACGATGAAAGCATCAGCGTTCGTTCTAACGACAAGGAGATTGCACCCTTTTCTTCAGGTGAATACCTATCGGACTATATACAGTTGCAGCTGCTCACTATTATCTGTGGACAGTGGTGCATATTCCAAAAGATGCTATTCTTTCGGAAATCGTCCTCTGTTTCGTCGGCCGTCGTCCCCAGCCCTGTTGGACATGAAGCCCAGTTGTCATTGGCGCTTGCTTTATACATTGAACTGTGCGTTGCTTAGTCCTGCTCGTTAGCTCTGTTTGGTGACGTGTAGTAGAACGAAAGGCGCATCATCTCGGTGGCATGGCTATCTGCAATCACTTCCTACACAAATCGTGGACATTCCCATTCTGTGGCAAACAGATGACCATTTCATGGATTCTACGGATAGAAAACACGCTTTAAAGTGGTTAAAGGGGACTGAGGTGGAAAAGGACCTACTGGCGCGTGTGGATGGCCTTACTCGCCTGGTGTGCAGGGTTCTCTGTTGCGCGGATTTCACTGAAATGATGTCAAAAGGATGAATTACACCAATACTACAGTGAAGTGGCAGAGCCCGTGTTCAAAGCGTACTTCCGAGGCTCATCCACCGCCAAGTGTTCTTCACATGGATTTTATCATGCGTATTCGCTAGTCTCATCCAGAGCCTTCCTTGTCGATGCGTATCACGGGCTTTCAATGGTGCCTATCGCAGATGCGTATGCCGTTTCCTGTGCTCTTGACGGTCTTTTTCTGATCTGTTGCCCTAGCTTCAATCATTCTCAAGAAAATCATGTACATCTTGAGGTATGAACCTCTTATACCTTTTTTTCTTCTGCCTTACCATGATACAGAGCGAATATGATGTCTGCCCTGAATGTGGTTCCCTGAAGGAATGTGCTCACGACGATGAGCCTTCACCGGGTCAGAGGATCTTGAGGATCATTTTGAAATGTCAGCAACACACACATTCCAGCCCACGGGGAAGTGTTCAACACATATGGCGAAACCCTCAGCAACGCTCAGCTGCTTCTACGATATGGCTTCATTCTAGACGTAAATGATAACGATCAAGTCGTTTGGGATAGAGGAGCTACTGGAGACACCCCAGAACACCTAATCGACGCCCGGCGCTCGATTGACATTCCAACGGAGACATGGCAGTATCGTTTTTCTGAATCTGACTCGTGCGTTACCAACCTGGGACGCCTGTCTTCTACATTGACTGTGATGGAAAAGTTTCACATCATATATGGTTGTTTTATGCCCTGCTGGCTTGTGTACGGCTTGGCTGCGATTTTCCTTTGCCGTCATAGCGGATCGCTTGATTGAGCGCGAGGGAATGAACGACCAAAACTTTTCTGGCGTAGTAGATCGCATCATAGCGGATATTGCGGCCTCCTATCATCGCCCTTTGCACGAAGAGACAAGCGCAATTGGGCGATCCAACGGATGAGATAGATGCATTGGATGTAAGTAATCTGAATTTCTTTACTACTTTGCTGACCTTCCTGTTCAAGTCGACAAGGATGCCTCTCACCTATTCGGCGATGCTCCAGGTAATGGGCGAGCGTTCTATACTGGAGAGTTGTCGTGCTGGATGGTCAGATCTTTCGGGGACATCTTCTGTCTGAGTTCGGCTGCCTTCAGCGGTTGCTCATCCTAATCCCAGCCCCGTCAGCGTCCGTAGCAAGACCATGGTCACCATCTCATGTTTCATTGAAGTGATTTCAAGCCGGGCGTCGCCGCAGGTGAGTGCCTTTGGTTACCCGATCATACATCCCTTATCCATTTCGTTCCTTGCAGATTTAACGCAGTGCAATGAACAGGAAGCCATCGTTATATTGTAGATCCTGATCAGGTTCATCATTCCGACCTGAGCCTCGATTCTACGCTCACTTGGGACAATGTACGGGTGAGAAAGCCTCTATCGAGATTCCAGTAGCCCTGGCAGCGTGGGGTGAGGCGGAAGAGGTGCCATTCTGCATTCGTGCATAAGTAATGCAAGTTGATGGCGAGGCTGCCGGGCAGCGAGCATTTTGTTTTATGCATTCTTTTGATGTTCCTGACAGGCTTGGTTACTCGCACGTTATATACTGACAAATATTTCCGGCCCTTGCAAGTACAGTTGGGTAGTGCCTGTTCAGTATGAGATTCATTTTGGACCCAACTTGGTATACCCAAGTATTCAAGAGCTGTGACCTTCAAATGTCGACCTTCCTCGGGATTACCTTCGGCTGATAATCTGTACTGTCGCGCCTAGCCTACTACCGGAATGTTCTGCTTCGGTCCAAGGCATAGATAATGAATATTGACGGCCCTGACTGTATTCACTTCCGCCAAAACTGAGCGGTGATGACCAAAAACGGAAAACCGGCTTGTTACTGGGTACCACATGTTCTGCCTCTCAAACCATAACGCCGTGTCCATCGTTGTAAGGAGTCTCGACTCTGAGAAGTTTCATTGACACTAGGTCTTGTATCTGCCTATCCTGACGTCTTTTCGGGTTGTTGTAACAAGGCGTCGCCTTTGCAGCTTGCTCCCTCTGGCTCTTGTCATGCTCTTTGTGGTGCCTCACTCCCTCGATCCATCATTCCAGGTTTGGCCAATATCGATATTCCTGGTATATATCGCCTTAGCCTGAACCTTGATATTCCCGGGATCAGTGCACAGACTCGGCAGCTTCAATCTTCTCAGCCCGCCGACTCAATTACCTCGTATGATGGAGACTTAAATGGAGCGTACTAAATGGAATCCCTTCTCGATCATCACTGTGGCTCTCATCTGAGCAGTATCGTAGTTCATCAATCATGCTCTTTGTCCTACGGACCTGTATTGTCTTAGACTTAATGTTTTGGCCTAAAGCACCGCTCCTGTGGAGCTACATGGAGTGTACTTTTATGGCACAACTTCGCGTAGTATCCTCCTCCCTGACCAGCTATGCATCTTCCAGCTCCTGTTCAAAACTCCCAGGCCCGCTTTTCGACGTTTACCCCTGCGAACGTTCACAGTTCTGTTCATTTTATTTGCTTTACTCGTGGGGAGTAGGCATACTTCACATCATTCACCATACTCCTTTGCAATAGACAAGGGATGGTTGTTAGTGGATACCCGGATTGGTCACCCTACCACTTCTCCGTTCATCAATCACAAAACTGCGGCGCTCGGTCCCAGTAGCTCGACCAACGGTGCCAAACCGACGCACATCAGCGAAAATGAATCTTTCCCTATAAAGGATATCTCTTGGCCGCCTGCTGATCCAGAGCGTCTGACGAATATTGAAGAGCTAAGGGAACTCGTGTCCCACTACGGACGGGTACTTTGCAAGAGATTGGAGTTTGGGTCTTGGCTGGAATAATGCACGTGGCAACCTCGGATTCTTTATCCGTGCTAACTTAGGAGCAGATACGATTTATCATTGACTCGGCATTGTTGCAAGCAAAGCTTCTTCGCCGAACACTTGTCCTTCCATCGTTCGTTTATGCGCGTAGTTGCGAGTACGATATGTGAGTGCCTCCTCTGTGCTGTTTCTCCGTGCTTAAGCATGGCTACAGGCAAGTGTGCTCCGACTATGCTGTGATGGTTAACAAAGGGTGAGAGGCCTTTATTGAAATCAATCGCTACAGTGACTAATCTCATGCTTACAGGGATGTATTGAGAAGCAACGAATGGCTCGGTCTTCCAATAGACCAGCAGATGGCCTGGGTTCTGCCCATAAATCTGATGATTAATATTACTCACCTTCGTCAGTCGCACCCAGTCATTACCGTATCTGAATATCTTCGCCTTCATGGTCAGGACAGCGATGCCGAAGCTTCCGACGGTCAATGGCAGAGAGTATCCTACCCATTCGACAAAGAGTATACTCACGGTAAGATTCCAGAGTTTGTATGTCATTGAAAATGGGTGGTACGACCCGCCCGAAACTGTGAGGGTCGATGAAGTGGTGACAAAGACCGAAGAGGCGAACATTTCGGATGTGGAGGAAGGAGGGATTTATAGGACACTGAAGGATGCTCTCCCGGATGATCAAGTTCTGCTAGATTGGGATAAAGCACGGGAACTATTGGGTATCTTGAGCGACGAAGATCTCGAGAGGGTAATCATTGACAACGGATGGGAAGTGGTACATACTTTCAAGCCCTTGTGAGTTATCCTCACACCGCACCAAAGGAGCATTGACTGATACCTATCAAGGCTAGGGATGGAGTACAGCAAGGCAGTAATAGATCCCATACGACAGATCACTCCTCGAAAGAACTTACGTGGATTCAAGAATGATTTTGGAGGACGTAAGGAAGAAGTCGTACTGCTCGCTGGGGAGGTCCATCATGGACGAAAGCCGGTATGCTCACCATGATTCTCCTGTCTTGAAATATCTCATTTTCCATCTAGGGATCTATGCGATTTGCATCGCGTGCCGCTTTGGATCAGTTCGTCGGTTTGGTGCTAGATGATGTCCGCAGGATTGATGCTGTCTTAGCTCTTGCAGATGCAATGGTTGAACGCATGTACATGTTCACCGAGGGGAGACTCTGGATGGCAGCGCATATACGTCGTGGTGACTGTGAGACATTGTTTTTGCTATCAAAATTAATGCTCACAATGCCCAGTTGTGAGGCACAACTTGGTAATGGAGAAGGTCCCAAAAGAACATATGGCTAGGGTCAAGAACCATTTGAAGGAAGGTGTAGACTTCATTGGGGCACTGAGAAAGGGGGAAGAGACATTGAAGACCTGCGATGTCCCAGCATCGCGGCTACAAATTAAACCAGACATGGAAATTCTCAAGAACAAGGCACCATTAGCAGGAGACTGGTGTGCATTTTTCTTACTCGGTCAAATCATATCGTTAACTGATGGGTATCAGGTTCTATGTTGCAACGGACGAGCGGGATAAAAAAGTCTTGGAAGAATTCCGTAAAAAAGGCGCAGTCTTCATGGATGATCTCCTCACCATTTCTGATCGGCGCAGTGAGTTATCGTGGGCACTGATGCTTACCGATTTTCGTGGCCTGGTGGAGCAGATCGTTTTGTCGAGAGCAGCATTCTTTTATGGGCATGCATTGAGTTCGGTTGCTGGCGGTGTGATGAATCTGCGAGCACTGAGGGGGATGGACCCACGCACTGCAGACGTGGACTGACATGCAGCGTTGTAATCCATGACCAATTAAAAGATTGGGGATCTAAAGGTGCGCTGAACTTGTCGTCCGTAAAACGCAGATAATGATTACGACGTCGAAGCAAGCTCATCCACAAGACTCTTTATCAGAACAGCATCATGATTTCCCCCCTTGTGAATTTATCTCTAGAATTACATTGGTTTCAATTTCCTTCCTTCACTATTGCATATATCATGGCTAACACTTAAATACCACTCCAAATGAGGTCTTCGTCAACCAACACCTCCGCAACACTCATAACGTCCGCCTCATTGGCACTTCTAGAAGCACAGATACTGAATAATCCCTTCTCCACCACCCAAGCCATTCGCGCATCATTATAGAATGAGAACGCCATTTTGTCTAGCGTGATCTCCAATTCTTGTGACTGGCCGGGAGAGAGTATCTCAGTCTTGGCAAACCCTTTGAGTTCGCGCTTGGGTCGTCGGTAAGAGCACACTTTGTCGATAACGTATAACTGGACAACGTCGGATCCAGGTCGCGACCCCGTGTTAGTAACAGTAAGCTTAGCTGCGGCACTGATTTCAGTCGAAGCACCGGTAAGTTTAACTTCAAGCGGCGACCATTCTGTCAAAAGGATTCCTAGTCAGCGGGGTCCAAGGTGGGAATTCAGACGAACCGAATGTGGTGTAGCTCAGTCCATGGCCGAAATAGAACGTTGGTCTTCGCTTAGTTTCTTCGTACCCACGGTACCCGACCTTGAACAATATTATTCAACTTTTTTTGCTGAAGCCATAGGCTAGATGAATGCGATCAACTCACAAAGATACCTTCACCGTATGTCACTCTTCCACTCTCAGCGCCCCAGTTGAGATGCGCTGTACAGTCCTCGATACACTTGGGGAACGTGAGAGGTAACCGGCCAGCGGGATTGACTTTGCCAAAGATGACATCCGCAAGGGCATTTCCTATTTTCTTTGTAAGAAAACAAGTAGCGATACTGAAGTACGAGTCTACCCACCGCATTCATTTCCGGCAAACCATGCCTGTACTACAGTGCTTGCCTTGTCCACCCAAGGGAACGCCACTGTAGAGCCCTATACAGCTGTATTGAGTAAAATTGAGCGTGAAGGGGAACGCTGACGAAATCTTACGGATTGATTGACCACAACTGTATTTTGGTTCGCGTCAAGCAATCGCCGCACGAGTTCATCTGTGAGTCCAGGTAGCTCCAACCCTTTTCGATCGCTTGCCTCGGCTTCCCAGTCCATATTGGTTCCAATAACGCATATCACAGCATCGGCATCGCGGGCGATGGTCACGGCATCATCGAGTGCTATGGTAGGGTCAATTTTCGGCACACCAGAGACACGAAGGGCAGCCATCATGAGCGGAGGCTGTTTCGCTTCCCCTTGGTCAGAAGAGACGGGAAGCGGCGTCTTCCACGGGGAATCGTAATCAGTGGTGTGAACCAGTACCAAAGGTGGAAACAAACATTAGTGTATTTTACAAGAATTTCATACGTCTTTCCTTTAACGAGGTCCACAGTGGCAGTCTCTTCAATGGTTCCTAGTCCTTTGGAAATGGTCAACAACGGTGTATTCGCTTTCAGAACGAAACTTGCCATAGAAACTATCGCCGGGAGTTTGGGGGCGGTCCATGCCGTTATCCACGATCAGTTTTCCATCGAGACTCACGGTCGCGCGTCCAACTAGCGATATTCCCAGTTCGAAGGGACCGCTCTCTTGCGCAGTGATGTATCCACGGAGTATGATGTAGAAATGCTCCGCCAAACCTACAAATAATCATCAGTAACACCCATAACAACTATTGATTAGATCGTGCCTTTAGGTTTCTCATCATTGATACGGAGGCGTGTCGAGAGGAGAGTATATGTTGAAAGGGGAGGAGTGTCGGCATCAGGGTCAGAATTGTAGAATGTCGCAGTCCACTTCAGTATTACGATCAGCTGGTCCTTTGGTCGATATAATAAATGACTCACGCCATCTGTGCCATCGGCGGTCTTGATCCATCCATCGAGCATAGGAAGATATCGATGTGCTGCGTGAAAGTAAATTAGAAGAGTGAAGGTAGACAGCAAGAGGTCTACCATAGCATCCTGGTGAATATACAACGTTGACATCGGTCCCCTGCAGAGCTGCCTCGATTCCCTCAAGGGGCGTTACGACATAACTACTTAGCAAGAATGCTGATCCACCCCCACTGACGGTCCTCGTCTTGGCGTTTGGTCCAATGACTGCAAGCTTCTTTATTTTTTTCATGTCGACGGGCAAGACTCCAAAATCGTTTTTTAGTAGAACTATACTCTCCGCAGCTAGTCTTCTGTTGAGGATAATGTCATCAGGAGGATCGAGCTGACGCTCTGGAAGTGTATTGTTCTTGACAAGAGACGGGTCCGCGCGCACTGCACGCTGAACGACTTGAAGGATGGCGTATGCCCGTGAGGATAAAGCGTCGAAAGATATTTTACCGGCATGGATAAGATGATTGATGAGGTCCCCTCTCCAGCGTGTGGGTCCAGGCATTTCGAGATCTAGTCCAGCGTTGACGGCCTCTGAAGTAGAGTAGGTCCCACTCCTGAAAACAGATATTGAGTCTTGCGCTGTGGATGAGAAAGATCGATAGGACTTGACGAACCAGTCGCTCATTACCATACCATCGAATCTCCACTCCTCGCGGAGAATAGTCTGTAGTAGTCGATGATTTTCTGAGCCTAACAAAGACAAGTTTACATTAGCTAGTAATACAGAGAAAAGGAGACGCACAATGGATCCCATTGACGCGACTATAAGAGGTCATGACGGCCCAAGGTTGGCAATCTTCTGAGCCAGCATGAAAGGCATGAGGTATATTTCGCGTAGGGGGCTTGATGCTGTGGCTTGAGAAATAAGACATGAACGAGGCTAATAAAACGTACCTCGCCTCTCCCACGCGAACATCAACGGAAAGTCGCTCATGTTCCATGTCGTTGCACACTAAGACAGTTGTTATCACTCTTATTGGAATGCAGAGAGCGGTGTACCAAAATGCTTGATGACAGCGCCGATACCGTTGCTTTGGAGACCAATTATGTAGTGAGCGGCAATCATCCCAGAGAGAAACGGGTCTTCGCTGAAACTTTCAAAAGCCTGCAAAACGTCGATCAGTCCTGATCGAGAAAGATAGAGTTGAGATTCACTCTTCCATTCAACGGATTTCTCTGGATGTTACATGTCGGTGCCAAGAGGAGACTACTCCCCTTTGCCTTACATTCACGCGCCAATAATCCTCCCGCTTCGTTTATTAGGCTGATGTCAAAGGTTGCTCCGAGGGCTGTTGCGCATGGAATACACTGTGCTGGAGAAGGCTATTTACTAGTCAGTGCCCGGGCACAAAGAAAGAAAAAATCATTCACCAAGAAGTGCGAACTACCCCTCACTCCATTTGGACCGTCAGAACACTTAATACGAGGCACACCGACGCGCGGGATTGGTGTCGTTGTCCACCAATCTGGCCCCGCAAGCAGAGAAATCTTTTCAGCTACGGTCAGCTTGGCAAGTACATCGTGGAGGTCTGCTGTTCCATAAGATTCGAGGTCGTACGGGGCCATCTCGAGGTAAAGAAAAGAAGGCAACTAAGGCTGAGTGCTCGAAGAGAGATGATCATCATCAATAAATGCCAAGTTAAGTTCGGGGCTCGGGTCTAACACGGAGTTTCCGGGATGCGGCCCGTCACGCCCGACGGACGGTGGAAGCTGGTTTCCAAGCTAACGCTCACAAACGTTCAGCATTGAATCTCTTTCACTGTGACCTGCGTCCACTAATTGACTAGGGTATAATCTCCTTATCCTATCTCCTTATCGTCCGACCCTACCTCGAAAATCGTTTTTAACTCTTGCGGGTACCTTCTCCTGAAGATCATCTGAATTTCTTTAAATAAAGCGCAGAGGCCCTGAACGCAAATATCCCACTTCCCCTAGATGTCGTTGCATAATGACAGTATTGACTCAAAGGAAGGTAAGGTCGAGGACCCAGTAGCTGTGGCAGACGAACAAGTACTTTCGCAGTACACGTTCGCGGAGACGAAGAAGATTTTACGAAGAGTGAGTACCACTAATAACACCTTCTTTTATGTTGCTTAACTGTCTTCGATCAGGTTGACTTGCATCTCCTTCCTCTCCTCATGTTGGCATATCTGCTCAAGGCTTGACTCTCAGCTGGCTGTTCGATCCAGTCTAAATCGTATTTTAACAGAACTTGGATTCCAACATCGTCTCGTATATCAAGACCATTAACACGGGAAAATCTACGAATATCCTGACGCAACTTCATATGACTACGGATGAGTACGGATACTTGTCCACTATTTTCACGGTACGTAGTCCTGTCACGATGGAGGTTCAGAATGCTGACATCACCCATTTAGTGTACTTTCCTGGCGTTCGAAGTCCCTTCGAACTTGATTCTAAAGTGGTCTACGCCTCGATTACATTTTGTCGTATCATTTTCTTGTGGTATGTGAACATATTGCCTGTGGTGGCCAGATAGCCATAATCTCTGTCCATTAGGTCCGTAGCTGCTTGTTGCCATGCTGCGGCAACAAACAAAGGCGGCCTTTACGCTGCCCGTGCTTTTCTCGGTCTCTTTGAGGCCGGTCTTTTCCGTATGTTATGTCCTGGAAATCTCCCTCCATATCATTAATACTAATTACAACCCATGTGCAGCCGGAATTCTCCTTCAAATGACATTCTGGTACCGTCCAGACGAACTCGGCCTTCCGCATGGCCATGATCACTATTCTCGGACAATTTAGCAATATCCTAGACGCTCTGATTGCGTACGGCCTTGCCTATATCGACGGACGCCATGGTCTGTCAGGCTGGCAGTGGGCTTTCATTATCAGTTTGTTATTTTATTTCATCGTGACCTTGAACACCAAACTAACTTTGTTTCAAGTCGGCTGCATAGGATTCGTGCTCACGGCTTTCATTTTCCTATTTCTCCCTGATTACCCCGATTCTCCTCAGGGTCACCGGCAGTTCCTCACTTCGGAGGAAGGCAAGTTCATAGTTGATCGCCTTCCTCCTACTCACCCCGCCAATCCGACGCCAACTTCAATTGGGCTGACGTTAGGGCCGCGTGCAAGGATCCCCTTACTTACGGATTCAGTTTCATCCTACTTTGCCAACAGACTGGTATTGCTGGAGTGAATTACCTTCCATCTTGCGTCGTAGCCTATTAAGCATACTAATCCCTCTGCCACTACAGTACACCTTCTGGCTTCCCTCAATTATTGCTGGCTACGGATTTACAACTACGACGAATGCTCAGCTGCTTAATATCCCCCCTGCCGCTATATATATCATATCCGCGCTTTCATTTGCTTGTAAGGCATTCTCTTCTTACCCAAACCTCCATACTGATAACTTCGATATCTAGGGATTTCTGACCATACCTTCAAAATATCCCGGCCCGTGTACATGCTCGTTTCTCTCGTCGTTCTTATCGGTACTTTTATTGGTCTCAACCGTGTGTCGGAACAATGCAGGTCTTCTGACGCTCATTCTCTTCACCGCGATACCCTACGCAATATACCAGACGATGATATTTCCTTGGCGTTCCCAGAGTACCAAAGGATCATCCTATGCCTCCCTTTACGTTGCCTTCCAGAATAGCGTGGGCCAGATTGCGAGTATTTTTGCTGCCCAGATTTTTCAATCGAAGTATGCGCCCAGATGCGAGTGCCTCGTTTTTTTTTAACAACTCGGTCTAATTGGCCGTATAGATACCATCCCTTACATCGTGTGCATCATATTCTTTGCGCTTGCGTTGTTTGCCGTCCTCTTTACGTGGTATTTTAGTTATGGTACCGAGAAAGAGAATAGGCGGCCTGGCAAAGGAAAGGAGGACGGCAGGGAAAGTAGACAACGTCGTCGTCGTATAGATATTGGCGCGTTCTCAGACCTCCGATTCTATCTTCAGGGAGTTTTGTGGTGGATATTTCAACGGTCATAGTTTTCCAACATAGATCGTTTCAAGATTCTTCATTTCTGTTCACACGTGTGTTGAGGAGATACGTCTTCCTCTTCTTATCTTACTTATAGCCGCCTTCAAAGACTGCGATAAGGTTGAATGTCCTTATGACATGGAGAATGGACCCGACGGGTCACTTGAGTTGTAAGAAGTACTTCTAAATTATCCGAATACAAACTTGCTAAGAAGATTATGATAAAGTTCTTCCGTATGATATTCGACCCTTGCGTGAGTAAAAGACGACGGCGAAAAATTTTGTGTTAAGTATGAGAATCCACAGCCTTGTGGCAAACGATACGATCAGCTGAGAACGAGAATCAATTAATCCCTCGGTACCGGAGGAAATTCAACATAATATTAGTTGTTCCACTGAATAAAGGTAAATAAACCAAGCTCAAACGCCCCTCACGGGGACAGTACAACATTTATCAGTACGATGTATTATAACATAGATATTAAGGATCTGAAATCAATTACGCGGCAGACTCCTCCAAGCCAGTCTCATTATCAGACGACTACTCTTCAAAATCACTAAGAGGTAGAGTGTCCAGCTCATGACTAACATCCTCTGGTGTGGAGTCGTTATTGTCCGACATAACGCCCGTATCAGTTGTTTGGTGAAGATTGAGCACGAGCCGGGACATTAAGGTTACAGATACGCTACGGTACCGTTAAGATATTAATAACATTGCGCCAAGACAAAAGGATGTGTACGGTCTTACCTACTGGCGAAGGAGGAAAGGCCACCCCTGAGAAAGGGCTTTATTAACAATGTCAGCGTCTGGGTAATACAACAGAGTAGAAGAGCTACCCCTGCTAACTGTTCGCACATCAATCCAAACGTTATCAGTGAAGAGATCGAACATACATAGAAGGTGAGAACGTTGGAAAGCGTGGCTAGCGCCATAGCCCTAAATGAAGCTTTGATTATTAGGAAGCGAGATTGTACAGGGGAGGGACGGACGCATAATAAATGACTCCTGCCATTGCAGCCGCTCATCAGTTAGCTAACTCGGCGATCAGAGGCGGCAGACGTACCATCTCTAAAAACGAGGGTACAAAAGAGGTATATTTTCTGTTCTATTTTTATATGCCGTATAAAAGGTGAGGGCGAAAAGCATCGAGTCGTAGATGAAGAGCGCCTCCCATGCGATCGCGACACCTGGCGGTTAATTGATAAGTATGTGTACTTCCAAGGGACGATATAAACGTAGACTGACGGATGGCTCTACAATGAACAAGAACGTCAGCGATTACTCCGGCAGAATAGATGAACAGAAATGCACGTTTACGCGAGACAAACCGATGTGACATCCGGAATCCTTCCATCGTCGCTTTTCTGGTCCGTTAGAGACCACTTTGAAGAGAAAAATGAATCGGCAAGATTGTCGTCAAACGGAGATAGAAACGCACACAAGACACTGCAAAGAGTGTATCACTCCGCTCCCGAGCATGTACATTAATACCCTGATGTTGCATGTATACAATGCATAAATACGCATGGTCAACAGGGCTTCGCGGAATCAGCGGGAAGGTTCTCAACACAGGCTAAAGAAGGGACTTGCCGCATACCGACGATTTGGCTAACAACGAGCAGGATTTGGCGAGTAAAGCGCGTATTTGTTACAACTGCGCAAAATCCGTCAACAGCTGAATTTTATGGTGGCGCAAATCAGAAAACGAAATACCTCTAAACACGACAATGAGCCCTGATTAATATTTAAGGACAGACGTGAACAGCTTCACCGTTGTTGATAATGCCGTAAATCCTAAGATAGCGACAGTTATGTTTCCGAAAAACGGCCAGATATCGATTGGTGAAAAATAAATAAGAACCAAATGTTCTTCGGTTTACTCCAGAGTAGACGGAGTTCATCATCTGCACTAGTCAGACTGAGTAGCATGGCAACGGGGGATAGTCATACCGATGGTGTATCAGATGGTCCCAAGTACAGAAACGCTGGAAATGCGACAAAACGGTAAGCATTAATATTTGGAATCCTGGGGTAGCGAAGCGGACATACAGAGTGATATTATTTGAAGATACCCATGAAGCCAATCTACGGACAAATCGTCATCAATTCGTTGCTGAATGAAACTGGTGGACTTACATTTCCCAAGCCTGCTCATTGTCCATGTTATCCATGGGTAGTAAGAGCTTAAGTGAATATGCTGCTCATAAGCATCTCTCACTTGCGCCAGCTTGATATTGGGATCTTGTTGAACAAACAAAAATGTCCATACGTTGACAAACATTGACAGTTGTGGGATGCAACGCAACATTAAAATACTTGATGCCAGGTTGGTCGTGGGAGTTGCTGATCACTGTTAATCAACGGAAGATTGCCTCCGAGTCTGGAGCCATCGATCGGCACGACTTTCCAAACCACGTGGAAAAAATCGACAATGGTCAAATTGAATGACGGCGGCGTCATCTCTCAGCTTATCTTCGCTCTCATGTTGTTTTTCCGCCCGAAGAAGTGGCGGTAGCCGTACTGCTCCTGGTTCTTTCTCCCAGGATATATTATTTTCTCTGTGGGCCTCGATGTAGAATCAGATCCGTGCCGGAGCCGAGGCTTCTTAAAACGACCGTCTGCAGGTAAATACGGAGCTGCACTTTTTAGTTGTGTCAAGCTTCTCTCTGGTGCGTTCCGGGTGAGATCTCACTAGAACCGCGCGTCTAGTTGGACTAATAAGCTCTTTGACATCTAGCGACGGATCGGACTTCTCGGCTATATGATACTACCTGGACTCACCTTCTACGGCTGACGGCTGGACGCTCACCCACTTTTTCCCCCCCTCGGATCGGGGAGTCTAGGATACTGTCCCGTCCTTGTCATCGTTTTCGGACACGACATCTCGATGCTTGACGCCCCTGCTTCTCATTCGAATTTTTTTCTCTTCCTGACTACTCACCACTACTATGTCTGACAATGTGTCGTCTACTGAACAAATGCACGTAGCTACTTCCTTCTTCTGGTGGCGCAAGCGCTAAGATGATTGATGTAGATTGTTTCACAATTACCTGCACATGATCGCTATGTGTTCGTTCGATCGCGTTCGTTAGTGGTGGATGTCGCTAACGTACACGTTTAGCTTTCGTGTACTGGGATCATTTCATTACCTTCGGTCCGTCTTTCTCCCTTCTCGTTTTTTGCTGTTTTGACTTGGTGTAGACATTGAGATTGAGTATCTATGGAAGCAGCCCAAAACAACCCAGTGCTCGATTGTTCTTTCTGAACAGATATCTCGCATTTTTGGGAACATATGTGTGACAGTGCTTTCGTTCACACATTATCTGTGACGGTGCGCACTCCCACTCTAGTAGTCTCAATTGACAGCTAATAAGTTTATAGAGGTGGGTTTATCAGAGTTTTCTTGGTGGTATAAAGTTGATATCGTCCACCAAATCAGCTGTGGACACTACAACTTGGTCCGCCAAGCGCTGCTAATCATCAGCCAAATTATTGTTTGCAGTAAGTATCTCACGCTTCCTAAGTTTAGTACTGATGTTCCTCGCAGTTCTTTTAACGATGCGAATATACGCTATTTATGCATGTAACCTGCGTATTCTCTGTTTATAATGATGGCGAGTGCCGTCATTCTGGCCGGCGTTTCTTGCGTACGTGTCAGAATGTCTTGTCAAGAGATTCCCTTCTGATTCATGTCCAGTGGTCTCTCTTCGGTCAAAAATATGTCGACTTCAAGCCTTCGTCTGGTTGTCACATTGGTTTGGACCGAGATACGTACGTCTCGCCGTCGGTCAAGGTCTTTCATCGCTAACTTGGACTTCCCAGCGCCATCCGTAAGCAGTTTTTCTGACTGCATCGCATCTGGACAGCGAAGCATGAATTCATCCTACAGGCAATAGCGTCGGCGTGGGGAGGCCCTCTTCATATACGATACCATTCTCTTTAGTTTGGACGCTCTTAAAACGTACAAAGAGCGACGGAACCGTGTTACGCCTGACATTCTATCTCTTATCCTTCGAGATGGTGAGCAACTTTTCACTGGATCTTGGAATCTCCCAACTCTGAGGCGGATTTATCAGGCGCTATATATTTCGCGTAAGGCCATTTTGTCGGTATTTCCAGCTTGCAGCACGCTACAGCTACTCTTGCAGCGTCATGGGCCCTTGCTATTTATCTAATATTATTACATTTTATGTTGCGTTTTTTTTTTTTTTGGCATTTACATGACCGCACTTTTTAACTTTGTCTCTTTTTCAGTTAGCTCCAGTAAGCAGCTCTTTTCCTGGGTGTAATCCTTCTTATCATCCGGTTTCCGCCACAGCCGTTCTTTCTCCGTTGGATCTCTCTCATCGTTTGCCAGCTGGTGTGTTTTCATGATTTGTCATGCATCAAAGCTAATAACGGCCCAAGCATTTCTGTGACCAGGATGTCTCGGCTCATGTTGAATTCTGCATCAGACGGCGACTGTTGGAATATTCTCCGCAGGCTTTCCCACAAATGACCTAACATTTCGAACAATTCAGACTGCCACCGTTCGGTCCGATGAAGACGATACAGAGTTGCAAGATTTTCCATCACATAGTCGTCTTATTGAACTATAGACTGCTTAGAATTCGTTTCTCTACGGAGATTCATGTGTAGATTTGCACGTTGGTGCGAAAGTGTAAGTTCTGAGACTTCCGCAATTGTCCCACCAAGGCGACAACGTTACATCAAGGTCCTCGTGCCACGGCAACTCATTCGCTTTACTTCTTGCCAGCCTTCTTTGCTGCCGTCCTCGCCCGATTAATCTGCTTCTTCCATCCGTAGCACTGGTTACAACCTTCGATAACAGTCAGCACAACCTATGGTAGCAAGGAGCGCCTCCTAACCTGTTAAGGCATGCTTCTTGCACTGATAGACGCCATCTTTGTTGATGATGGCTGGGGGACATTCGATGCCCTCGCGGTCGATGGGATCAAAACTAGCACGAATGCAGTCAACAACGATAAGAACGGAAAATCACGAAGTCGACCTACTCCAAAGAACGCATCATTCTCCTCTCTTCCATCGTACCCACAGACCGCACACTACGATCATCGTCAGACGACCAAGATAACAGCGACGAAGATAAGCTACTAACCACTTCCTTGAAATGAGTGCAGAAATACGCATCGTTGACTTCGATGGTAGCAGGGGTAGCAACTTCAGTTGACATTGCGGAAGAGAGATTGTGTGCGTCCTATGGGATGGTGGTGGTACGTATCCAAGAGCGGATGGGTGGGAAAGAATAGCATTCCTGGAGCTGTCTAGAGTCAGATGTGGGTCCGGGGGGTAAAGCATCATATGACCGGCACCCGTGGCCCAGTATTCCAGGAGGGGCTGGGTCATTTGCACCCCGAATTTCGCTATGCACTTCTGGGTCTCGTGGTGGACGAGATCATTGGAAGTTACGTACTATGAACCTCGAAAATAGGCGCTACCATAGGGCGCAGTCGAATTCGTTGAAGCTCGGCAGGAAACGTTGTACCCGCTAATTCCGAAACTTCTCGCTCACATGTTCGCTGGACGAGGTCAAGTGTTCATAGAGTAACCGAATCCGATCGAGCGCTTCAGTCACTGATTTGGGCAGCTTTTTAAAGAGTGTTTGAAGCAAAGTCTGGTTCCGGTAGACGTCTGTTCCATCTTCCGACTGAGATCTGCTACAAAATTCCTGGAGTGAGGTTGGAATTTGACGGTTGGAACTTGGGAATCGGATTCGGAACGCTGAGTGCCGGTGATCATGTGACCCATCGGCTAGTAACTTTACTATTAGCTTTAGGTAAATTTGCCGGTTCGTCTCGTTTCACCCGCTAGTTGCAAGTCCTTACGAGTTCATTGCAACCAAATGCTAATACAAATGCATATCTATATTGGATACAGGCTTGTTATCGAATGGATCCTCTGTTTCCAGGCCTCTGAATGTCTCTAGTCCTCAGCTCGCCTCTTTGGGTGCATTGTGCCTATGTCCATATACAAGCCAATCTTCATGTATTTCCCTCCAGATCTTTCGCATTCGCTGCTCACGGTGCTTAAATAATAATGAATGGCAGCTTCCATATGATCCAGTTAGCTTCACCTGTACGACACGTCCTTCGTCCGAGTCGAATTCCTCGCATTTGACGGCGCTGAAACACCTGTAGGGGTTCGATTTAACTCCAGTTCTTGATGATTAGTTCATCTGATCGATCCGTTAGTGCTTTAATTCTGGTACAGGCTTCCTACACGAACGTATCCCTACCAGGATATGGCGAGTCGCAAGCGGTACGTTCCAAAGTATTCAAGGTACGTTACCTGCATTGGGCGATTTATTAGAGGCGTCAGCTTTGCCGCCCGTCAGAACAGGATGTCAAGAGTCGATTTTTGACCCTATCTCCCTTGGTACTTCCTATAGAAGTTAGCGTCGCAAATTTGCCACGTAACTTGGGCTATCTTTCAGTAGACGATAACGTCGAAGGCTCCTGGATCCGACTGCGCGTTCATTATTGTTTGATTCACTTTGACGTAGGATCACACTTTTCACCGGCCTTGCTCCCGCAGATACGATGGCAATTCAATATCATAATTAAAATGATCCTGATCGGGAATTCAAGCTACTCAGCACGCGCCAGACCCTGGCGGTATATAAACTCTAGCGGTTACCCTCGCTGTACTCGACTACTCATGGCTTCTACTAAGGGCGTCGCTCTGATCACTGGCTCTTGCCAAGGCCTAGGAAGGGCTATCGCCCTCAGGCTAGCAGAAGATGGATTCGACGTCTCTATCAATGACCTACCATCGAAAACTAGGGAGCTTGAGGCCCTTGCAGCCGAAATTATCGCAAAAGGGAGGAGGCCGTGCGTCGTACTAGGAGACGTCTCGATTGAAAGTGATGTCATAAGTATCATAGACAACACTGTTCACGAACTGGGGGCGTTGAACGTTGTCAGCAGAACCTCCACATATGCATCAGTTACGATACTCACTACTCTGTGGTGTAGATGGTGGCCAATGCTGGCGTTTGTACCTTCCGTAGCATCTTGGACAGTAAGCCGCAAGCTGCTCCTGCAGTGTTGTCGACATACTTACGTTGGTTTAGCTTCCACGGATGATTGGAATCGTATCTTTACGATAAACGGACAGGGAACTTTCCTCTGCTACAAGTACGCTGCGAAGCAGATGATCAAACAAGGTAACGGCGGACGTATTGTGGGCGCTTCTTCCATTGCGGGGAAACAAGGTTAGTGTATCTGCTAGTCTCTGATCCAAATACTGATGTACATGTACCAGGTTATAGCGATTTAGCCGCTTATAGTGCATCCAAAGGTGCCATCCACCTTTTCACACAAAGTGCTGGTTCGTTGGTTCTTCCCCGATGTGCACGGCGTAAGTACTAATGTTGCAAGTGTTTAGCCCGAGAATTCGGACCATATGGCATCACAGTGAATGCATACGCACCTGGTAAATCTTATTGTCCATCGAGCTTCCCTCTGATCGAAAACGCTGAACATACTTCCTCAAGGCCCTACTTACACTGAAATGCGTACGTTGCTCTGAATCTTGTGACCGCGGTCTAATATTCCACTACTTCAGTTACCGATCTTGGTAAATCTACAGGAGATGAGAAGGGTTTTTACGATGCGGTCAGTCGAAGTTCTTCTCAGCTACACTGTGGTGATTAACAATATTTATAATAGCAAATTGCTATGAGTGCCAGAGGACAGCTTCTGGAGCCTACTGACATTGCTAGTATCGTATCTTATCTCGTTTCTAGTGAAGCACGTCTCATAACAGGTGGGTGGTAAATGCGTATCTGATGCAAGCTCACTGAGCGATTGATGTGCAGGTCAAAGCGTGAGTCAAAAATTTCGATCGACTTGCTCAAACCTCACGCCTATCACGGATAGATATCAGTTAACTCTGGATTGTTTTTCGATTGAAAGCTGGCTTAGACATAGTAGAAGGGTGTGAGGTAGTTCTGTTTTACAATTTTAAGTTGGATCAGCCTTTCCAGTCCATTATCTGTCCTGTTCAGCGGAAGCTATTTGCAGGTGGCGAGAAATACTGTCCGAAATTGCCCCTACGTCAGTAAGGACGTTTATCTAAAATGGACCATGAGAAACTTTCACGCGGGCCGCGAGTTTTAGAGAGACCGCGAATCTCACCATGTCAAAGCCTTCTTGAGACCGCTTCACAGCTTGCTCTCCCGATGTGCAATATATAGCGCTAAGGATAGTTCAATAAGCGTAGACACGCACACACGCAATGTCAACCAACCACTTCTTTCCTTCGGAATGAGCTACGCGAAGTATTTCTTTGATCACGTTCTCAACACTCGGATGCGGATCCGGCAAGGGTGGCGGATAGCCGAGGGATATAGACAGATCATATGGACCAATGAACAGCACATCTATGAGTCGTCAGTTCGTAAAAGTGAAGTAAGTAGATAGAGTCAACGCTACCAATTCCATCGACAGCTGCTATGTCTTTCATATTCTCTACCCCTTCCTTGGTTTCGATTTGAACCATAACAGTGACCTCTTTATTCGCCGACTCAAGATATTGTGGGACCGTTACACCCCACGTCCCATGGGTGAAGGGGTTCCCGAATCCACGCCTCCCGGCGGGAGGAAATCGGCTGTCCATCACGACTTCCTTGGCCTTCTCTGCCGAAGACACCTAGATCGTTGCTTCATTGTACTCAAAACGTAATTACCTGAAAGAGCGACAGAATACCATAGGAACCAGGACTCCGTGGGCTCCTGCATCGAGGGCATACTTGATCTGCCAACTGGTGCTTGAACTGATCCCAGTGGCGGGAACCCGCACCAAAGCACTCGGAGCTCCGTTTCCTGCGGCATGAATAGCGGCGATGCTCTCGGAGGCGCCTGGGTGGAGCGGTACTTGGCCATGCTCGCAGTCTATCATTACCCACGAGAGTCGGGTGCTGGCTTGAGCTACCGTTCGCGCATGAAAGTAGCCTGGAAGAGATATCCAAGTGCCAAAAGCTGTTCTGTTCGATTTGAAAGCTTCACGAAGGGCGTGGGTCGTCATGGCTGTTGGGGGGGAAACAGTGGAGCCTCGAATTGAATTAGGTAACCAGAAGATACGATGCATATTTTTATCCGTGGGTATAGCAGATCGTGTAGACCTTTCCATTAAAGTCTTACCAACAGCCATGCAGAAAGACGTCCAACATTGATGAATTATTGCCTTATAGATAGAAAAATCTCGAAGTCGACCCCGATCGATCATCTAGGTATTCGCTAACGCGCTGATCGATCGGCACTCTGATCCCGCGGGCAAAATAATTTCGCCGGGTGGATGAACAAGAGTCGAGCCAACTGAAGTTAAGATAAAGTCTTCTGTAGCCTGACTTAGTAACGATATTGCGTGATGGGAAGAATACTATCAATCAGCATGTATCGTTTACAGTGACGAAAATATTTTACTAGCTTGTACATTACCCTCATCTAGGAGTAAAACCTGCCGCCGTTAACCGGTATCTTCAAGTTACAGTGAGAACCAAATGGCACGAAAGAGAAGAAAGACCTTACCGTTTGACCTAAGCGGCAGACGCCATTTTTTTCAGTAAAGGTTAAGGAGCAAAAGCGAAGAGATTAGCTACCTGTAACGAAGCGACCGTCTCTCGATGCAAGGTATGAAACAACACCAGCAACATCAGAAGGCTCGCCCATCATTCCCAACGGGCTTTTGTTTCTCTCCTTATACATAGTTAGGGACTAAGAAGTGCGACGCAGTCTGTAAGCCACCTACCTTCTCGTAGAAGGCGTCCACACCACCCATATCTTGGGCGGCTTCAACCACTGTAGTCGAAGACCAGGTTGGCATGGTCGAAAATTAACGACATGAAGGCTTACTCATAGGAGTATCTATTGCGCCTATTCCCATGTTAGCTAAGACACGAGAAAACAAGCATATCACGGGGCGTACCTGGAGCATAGGTGTTTACTGTGATCCCATATTCTCCAAATTCAGTGGCTAACATGACAGGGAAACAAAGTCACCAAAAAGTACAGATAAAGTCAATGAAACCAGCAACCTGCACATTGCGTAAGGCCTCTAATAGCGAATTTCGAGGCACTATAAGCGCTAACGAATCTTCCACCTATTGTCGGGGCATCAGTATTTAGATGGAGGGCGTTACACGAAACTAACCTTGCTGTCCAAGGACCGAACACGCTCCAATGATTCGACCCCCAGTCCCTTGCTTGATCATCTGTTTTGCAGCAAGTTTGTAACAGATAAAAACACTTCGGGCGTTGACACTGAGGACGCGATCCCAGTCCTCAATTTGGGCTACAAAATTCCAAAAATTAAATACTTTCCATGACGACAGTATAACGCACTGTCCAGCAGTCGCCGCCCAAAACCCATTCCGGCGTTAGCAACCATCTACGAAACGAATGAGAAGACCAGACGCGCATCGAGAAATGACCTAGAACGCACGACATCCAATCGACCCAACTCTGTGACCACTTTGGTCACCATATCTTCCACCTCTTGTTCCACAGACACATCAGCAAGAATTATGCACGACCTCCTACCCTTTGCCGAGATTTCCGCTGAAAGCAATTCCAGTGCTTCTGATTTGCAAGGCAGGTCATTGATAGCCACATCAAAGCCATCGTCAGCGAGTCTGAGAGCAATTGCTTTGCCAATTCCTTGGCCGGCACCGGTCACGATAGCCACGGACATGACAGGGAATCGAGTGAATTCATAAGACGCTATATTGGAGGAGTTTTAAAGGCCGCGACCGAATTGCAACCAGAGATCAAACATGGGATATCCTGGGAACCGGAGCTGCAAGGAGCGGAGGGCGGTTCCATGTGTCATATCCGACACTGAATATCAGCCTATATTAGCTAGAAGATCTGATAGTATATCACGCGGTGATAGGGCTGCCATATTCTGGTGTTGGTGTCATTCACGATTCGGCCCACGGAATTACAGCGTCAGATAATCAAACGTGTACACAATTTGCAAGCACTTTACAAAGGTCAAGACTCGATTTGGGCCAGCCATTCTCTGACAAAGGTAACATTCCGTTTCCGTTCCTGTAGTCATGAAACTGCTGTCAACGGAGATAGTTCCCGTTAGAGAATAACATACCTCAAAATGATCGGGCTTTCTAACCCCTTCTGAGAAATGTGGAAGAGGGTCGATCTTGTCGTCAGTCCGTGACGATAACGATCTCGCCTGTTGTTGACTTGTTAACGAAGGTAGATATGTATGCATGCAAACTTGGTGTACCGTTTCCCACATCAGCGACATCGCGTCTAGGGCGTCCCAACTTTGAACGATAGCGTTCAGAATTTTATCCTCTATACCTGCGCATGAATCTCGATGCGATATCCATGCCTCGACATCTCGTTGGTAGTCTTCTTCGCCGGCGATAATGCTCCTGCATCCAGAGCACACAACGAAGTCGGAGTAGATCCCACGTACTGCTATCCATGGGTCTTCAAGTAGAAAGTTGCGACAAAGTTCTGGGTCAGGTTCGGAGTCATCAAGCGTGGAGAATTTTTTGCTGACAACGAAGACTGGATCAGAAGAGAGAAGAGCTTTCATCTCAAGGCAGGTAAAGGTTGCGAGCTGAGCAGAGGTCAGCGGATGTAAGTCGTTAAAGGCGGCAGTGGCATGAGGGGATAACGAAGAGTCAGATGATCTGGACGAGAGGTTATTCAACATGAACGAGGTGAGTAAAAACAAAACCATTGAAACTTACGACGATTCGTCATCCGCAAGCTGCAGGGCTTGTTCATAAAGAGAAAGAGCCCGAAGACACGGCACTGACAACGGGATGTCCCCGTTGAAGAAAAGATGGAATTGATTCGACGCTGGCGACTCCAACTCGCCTGCATATCGGCGAGCGGTGTACTCAGGAAAGGAAGCGCAGGTTGATGTTGAAGGGCAAGATATGTCCATGGCCTGGGGTAAGATGCAAAAGCGTTGAGTGGCGCGTTGACAGAATGTCTAGGTGACATTATGATTATGTCAGTGACGCGTCTACAACCCACAACACCAAGACGAATATCACACATGACTGCGTCAGAGCTATAGATGCTCGAGGACGCTGGCTAGGGCATTCCAACAGGCCCAGAGCCTATACGAAATAGAAAATTCAAACGCACTGCATTTTCAACAACCCGAACGCCACACGGTGACTTCCTGCTTCGGCCCAGGTGATGCGGTACTTCTACTTTTCGATTTACCGTAGCACCCTCCTTGATCTGCCTGCCATTTAGGTGATACTGTATGGCAATGCACATAATGCTCTTGTAGGTCTTTTATGATCGCAGTGATCCGCTCGATCACGCAGTTAACGCGTCATGATTCTCGAATGAATTTTTCCCTGATTGATGATCTAGCCTCCGGCCACCGACACCGAAGTATAGGTTGAGATAATCTTTGTCGTGGTTTTCATCTGCCACGAAACCTGCACAATACGGTGAGAGAGAGGAACCGGCGTTTACTTTTTGGTCGATGTTGTAGTCGAGGCCAGAGTATCGCGCTTTCATCAACGATACATTGCAACCAGTATAACGTACGCAAGGGGTTGATCAGAGATGCATAGCGTCCCTGGATAGGGCTACTCATCGGGACGAGCTTATATCCGACCGACGTGTTCCCCCGGTCGTGCTGTTACATCGATAGAAAAAGGCTGGAGTCATATCTGACAGATCTATCAGTTAAACTGGTGAGCAACCTGTGAAAATCAATCACCGGCTCATGGAAGATAACTTTTATCCCTTTTCCCCGTCTCTGACTCCAGGTGCATCATGGGCACACATGACCCATCCTGCAAGGGCCGAGAATAATTGACATGTGGTAATGGTTACGTCGCAGGAAAAGTCGAAGCTGAGAGGCTATTGCGCAGCAGATCAGACGACGTACAGAAAAGTTGCCTGCCTCGAAGCATCCCGGTCAAGGTCAGGGTTCCTTCAAGTTGAAGTAGGCAATTGAAGGCAGTTGGTAGGCTTGATGAATATGACTTGTGGTACAGAAACCAAGCTTCTAGGTCAACAAGTGCGACGCAGCTTAGCTTGCAATACAACCGTCAATTCAACCTAGTAGCATACTAAACACACCGAAGCATGTCCAGAAATGCTCCTTCGAACACTCAGTGTTGTCCTCTAATCGGGTCAGAAACGAATTACTGTGGATTGATTCCGGAAAATACGTGGTCGACGATATCGAGGTAGAAGTTAATACGACGCGATCAAGATGGTGGTAAAGAAGTGGCGTGATTTTCCCACGGTCCTTTGCTTGCAAACTATTGCTGAATTTCTTATCCAAAAGTTGCTTTGTGTTCTTCGATTTACCTAATGAAGGACGGCGAGTTGGACGTCGTCGTCATTCGATGACCTTTCCGGATATTGCCGAAGGCTTATATAACTGTAACTGCGGTGTCAGTAACGTTTAGGGGTGTCGAAGTATGAAAATAATAATTCAGATTTCTTAATCTTGAACCACCATGACGACAACTGAGGCCGGTAGTTTCAATGTGTGGGTAATATCATGCAAAGAAATCGACATTGGCGGTTATGCTCGTGTATATCGTGTGCCCTCTGATGCATATATTGCTGACCTGGTAGCAGTGATTGCTACGGAGCGCGAGATTGATCGCTCGGGACTGGTTTTGTGGACAGTACGTATCATAACCCTACAGTTCTGGATTCTACAGCTGACGGTCTTGCAGGCTAAACAACCGGTGTCCCAAGTCGGCGCTGCCACTCATCTAGCAGAGCGCCTGAATAAGGCGCATGGTAACCTGAAGACCATCGCCACAAAAGTGGAAGATCCCGGGCAGAACGTCAAGAATTTTCTGCTATTTAATCGAGGCGGTCAAGATCGACTGAACTCGGGAGAATTGCATTTCATTCTGGAAATCCGGAGCATGAAACGCAAGCGGGAGAACGACGAAGATGATGTCGACAATTACTTGCTATCGAGTACGCTACACGTATCTTGTGTTATCTCTCACTCAAATCTATCGAGGGTACAAAAGGACGATCAAAGCTGCTCGAGACACTCCATCCAGTAATTCCCGTTACAATAATTATATCAAGAACCAGGCTAGTGATGCCGCCATCCTCGACGGCCGCTACGATCCTGCCAATTCTACACCCACAGTGGCCCCGCCAATTCAACTTTATCACCCCGTCTTTGCAGATTTCCTTGGCGCTATGGGTGACACGAGTGACCTTCCGGAAGATCTTGTTGTGGAGACCGGCGAGCTGATGAGGAGCGCGTCTGGGATTGCAGTTATAGAGAGGAGTCGCTCTCTTCCGAGCCTTATGCATTTGTCCAAAATACTAGGGTTTCCTCTCTCGCAGGTCGTTAATATGAATAAGACGTCGGCTGACCATGCGATACTTCACAGACGAATGTCTCCTCCTATTCAAACTGCCCTACTGGCGACTGTCAAAGAAAAGTCGGAGTTGGGGTCTAGAGGGGATGTGACGACAGAAGGAGGGTGTTCATACATAGATTTCTGGCTGTCCGAAGATGTGAGTATTCACTCCGGTCCTTGGTTTTCTTATACGATATTTCGTATAGCACCAGGAACTCAGGGAATGTGGCTGTTGTCCTTCCTTCATCATTTGCCTCGCAGGTCCTTGGCTGATCGTAATGGGTGCCGTGCTCACTGCCCAGCCAATAGTTCAGCGCCTCACAGACTTCATATGGCTCGGAACCAGCCCTGCCATCAACGATGCGCAGTGCATCCGTATTGCTGGCGTCCTACGAGCCCTCAAGGCAGGTATACGCATCCTCGATGACTATTACAGAGATCTCGTGCACTTGCCCCTCTCATCTGACGACTCCCACCCCCGTTTCTTCCCTTTCCCAACCTCATTCCAAAATGGCAACCAGCCACGGGTATATTTCAAGTACTTGCAGCCACTTAAGCCCCTCGACCCCGCTTGCGTCGTCTTCCTCGCCGAGACCATCACGGACAAAAGCAAGGTTGTTGTCAAGTTCGTCCAGACTTATGGCGTCGAAGCCCATAGACTGCTTGCGCAACACCACTTGGCACCTCATCTTTTGTACTGTGAACACCTCGGTAAAGATAGTGCTGGTTATGGTGCCTTGAAAATGGTTGTGATGGGTTATGTCGAGGGGGAGGCTGCCACTGAGATGTTTGACGGTGCACTTGCGCCAAAAGTTGCCGGTGACCTCGAGCGTGCTCTTAACATCCTCCATGGGGAGGATCTTGTTTTTGGTGATCTTCGAGAACCCAATATTATGATTGTGCCAGGACCCAATGAAGGCGACACTGTGCGGCTGATCGACTTTGACTGGGCTGGGAAGGAGAATGAAGTCAGGTATCCGATCCATCTCAATGTGTCCAAGGAGGTCAAGTGGGCCGATGATGTTGGATCATATCGGAAGATTGATAAAAAGCATGATTTGAGCATGCTGGACATCCTGAAAAGACGACATGTACCTTAATCATGGTCGTGGATCCTTTGTCTTTCTCGTTCATAAATCTCTTGACCGGGTGATGGCTATAACGCTGCCCAGGGTACATTGCTATCCGTCTCTGAGACGTTGGGTCTGTAGGAGTAGAAAGTAGTTGTGGGAACAGCAATCACTTGGGTGGACCGTCAATGTCGAGTGTGAATGGACATGTCTTATGTCTGTTTTGCAAGGATAGTATCGATACACGCTTGAGTATAGAGGCGAATGATGTATCTGTAAGCATGCTGCTTACCACGTAGTTATTACTCATTACCTTCGCAGATACAGATCTATGTCGACCTTAAAACGACGCGATCAAGTTGATGGTAAGGAAGTGGCGCGATTTTCCCACGGTCCTTTGCCTGCAAACGATTACTAAGTTTCTTATCCCACAGTTGCTTCGTGTTCTTCGATTTACACCGACGTCGATGAGACCTTGAAAGTGGTGGGGGTTACTGTGACAGGTTCTTGACATAACTTTAGATCGTCATACGGCTTCTTCCACCTGAGGTCGTTCAATTACACATACTTACGTCTGCTCACGAATGAGTGTGCCAAGTACCAGTTTCTTTTCCTCAAAGTCCTTGGTAGAAGGATGCACCCTCAGACGTCTTTGCTATTGGACTATCTTCTGGGGAAACTTGTGTGCACTGGGAGTCTAGACGTCTTCTCATCTCTTGTCCGAGAGAAAGATTGCTATTCAGGATAGATGCTTCGTGACTGGCCCGAAGGTAGGTCACAGGTACTGCTATTTATTGCGAGGGCCTTGAGGTTTACACGTTCTGGGGAATCCATACTTCCTATTCCTCCCGGATGGTATATAATGTGACTCGCTGTATGGCACCCTTACCCCGGCCCCACCAATGTATGAGTGTCGAGCCTGTCATTGGACCTTCAAAACCGAACGAGGTCTTCATTCCCACTGCCGCGACAAAGAGAATCATTTCTACTGCAGTGAATGCTGTAGACTGTTCCTTCGAGAAGGCTTTCTTGCGCAGGTATGTGTTACCATGCCTCATACAAATTTCGTTCACATTCTCACTTTTTTAAACTCAAGCACCTTTCTTCGATAACTCATAAGGGGACAGGAGATGACATCGTTCAATGCAGCCGGTCTCTGAAGGACTGTCGGACACAAAATGGGCTGCGTATGCATTGCCGGGCGAGGAAGGACCATCCTTATTGCGAAGAGTGTGATAGAATGTTCCTCAACGGTCACGCACTTCGTCAGGTATTAATATCTCTCGAATGAAGAGGCCACTGCCTGATGCCTATTCCAGCATTTAGCTTCTTCTATTCATTGCTCAGTCGAGCATTGCCTTCGCGAGAGCAATGTATGACCTGTATACATATATATTAGCACGGGCGACCATTTTAACGAGTTATCTGGATTCTATTTCTGGCACTGGGCCTAGAGGGATATAATTTAGGTTGACCCTGACTTTTGGAGTCTACACATTGCTGGATCTAGCATCAGTAACCTCGCGCAGCATCTGTTTTTTTGCTCTACGATTCTGTTCCCGCCAGTATGAGCCTCTTTCTGCGTAGCACCTGTCAGTCCGAGTCCGAGTCTGCCCCGTCATCGTTTCACGGAATATGTGACATGATTTCAAGTTTGTAGATCTCACCCTCTTCCCGGCAGTTACACTGATGGTTGTCAGGCCGTTATGGGGGGTTGTCTACTACTGACCCTGACGGTATGCTATGATACTTATCTCGCATCAAAACCTGGAGAGTTTCAGCCACGAATTTAGTTATAAATTTTTACCTACCAGCTTCGCGGCTTGGCTGATTATCTGTCAAGGATGTTCGGGAGCGGTGTTGAACTAGTTGTAGTGACATTACTAGTACTCTTGCACGGAGTGAGAGGGCCACAAGAACGTATAACTCCTAATTGTACCCATGGTATACAACATACAAATACGACAAGCCCGCAAGAAACTCTTCATTAGCCAGGCAAGCCGCACCTTGAATAGAAAGAGAATAAACAAGCCCGAAACTTAGCACTCGCGCCACAACATCTGGACTAAGTCTAAACATGATGGCGGTTTCATCCAGGACCGCACCGCACCCAGCACCAACAGTTTCAAGGTTCAGACAATATTGATACGTTGCATGCCAGTGTTCGGCGAGTAGGCTAAAGGGGTTTGGTGACAGGTTACTGCGCCGATTGAAATGTCATCAATATCGTGCAACTACTCTAGTCTCGATCAATGTTGATCCCAAGCACACATTCAGAGAGTTATCTTGTCATGATGTGTCTATGTACACACAACATTCAATCCATATGCAAAAGAACTACTATACAAATTGCGGTAGACATGATATAGATATAAAAAAATGGTCCTAAATTATGGACGGGTCCTTTTAAAAAAAGATGTGGTGGTGGTGGGAGAGCAAAGGATAACGACCGATATAGTATACGTGGGATGGATAGGGATTAGCAGGCGGTGGACATGCTAGATGAGATATACATCAGTACTTGACTACTAATAGGAAGAATTAATGGACATACCAATGAGCACAACAGATACAAGGACAAATCGAGTAAAATGAAAATGAAAATGATATTAAAAATGAAAATCTCCTGTCACTCTACAGAATACCAGAGTCCTTGAGGGCATTCTGTAGTATCGTCTCTTTCACTGCGGCAAACACCAACCGTACGTTCGTAGTATCGGTCGCTTGCGTCAGACTGATGGTAGAACTGATCAGAGATCGTTACATGATGGTCGCGGATCGATCACGTACTGGGGGTACACGCTGAGTCTCGCTCGGTTCGCTTGCATGAACCGCCACAGAATGTACTTGGCCGCCTTGTTGACATCATTCCCGCCAGTATACTCGGGGAAATATCGATCAAGGGGCACCTTGACAGAGGTGAGAACATAGCATGGAAAGACATCGAAGCCAAACGCACCCTCGACACCTTCATCTTAAAAACATCAATCTTATTTAAAAAGAGAATGATAGACGTCCGGAGAAACCAGCGCGAATTGATAACCGACTCGAAAAGGACTAGAGATTCGGCCATCCGGTTCTAGATAAGATTCTAAGAAGCTGGGTGGACGAGAATGTGATAGCCACGCTCACCTGATTCCGCTCTTCCAGCAGCACCTGATCGTACTCGCTCAGCGCCGTGCAGAAAATTATGGATGTCACGCTCTCAAAGCAATGTATCCATTTTCTCCGCTCCGAACGTTGACCGCCGACATCGAACATGTGTATTCTAGATCGCATGTTAGTATTATAAATAACATAGGGACCAAAGAGTATACTGGAGCTGGCCCATGTTGAACCGTGTTTCTGTGATGCCCGTCGTCTTCGCCCGCGCACGAAGGACATCAGTCTCGGTAGGCCTATACCCTGGCGCACCGATGCGAAGGACTTCGGTGAAGAAGCTGAATGATATCAACGATCAACCAGGGTAAAACGTTGATGAAAATATGAATGCAGCTTACTATGAGGCGCTGTCCATGAGGTAAAACTCGGTTGAATGTTCTTCCATCATGGTAGAAATGACGGGATCTTGCCATAGTTGATGAATGGCGTCTGCTATCTCGGACGAGAGGGTGAATGCAGTCGTTTCGTCCAGCCGGTAGTCGAGAATGGTCTCTGCGAGCACCTGGAAGGCCGTGAGTTAATGACCCGAACGGACGCCGGGAAAAGGCGGCTAAATGAAAGGAAGATTGAAGAATGGAGAGCGGGGAGGGGATTATTAAATGAGAACATGGCGATAAAACGGGTGAGGGCATGTGGCGTGGATAAAGTCAGATACGATAATGAAAGCAGGGCGTTATACCCGTGAACTGTACGTATTCAAAGACATAAAGGAGGGAAAATGGAAGGCATTTTGAACGAAGAAACAAGGACGCACTCGATTTGAATAATTATGACAATCGATCCCGATCTTCCTCATAGCCTGAACGATGCCCTGCGCCGACTCTAGCACATTTTTATACACCGTTCCACGATACGAGTCCAATTCCTGAGGGGTAAAACCGCCTTGGTGGATAATCTTCATCTGCTTCACAATCGTCGACTTGCCCGACTCTCCAGATCCTAAGAGATACAACCCATCAAAACCAAAGGACGCGACTTGAAAGAAAAGAAAAAAGGATAGACGAACCCAACAACAATATCTTACACTCCTTTTTAAATTTCTTGCTGTCATCCTCCAGCTGCTTGTCTATCAGATCCGAGCGTGCCTTCTCTTCCTTGTCTGACTGAGACGCGCAGTTACCCATCCTCGCGCTGCGGCTCGCTCACGGGGTGTGTGTGTGTGGAAAGCGACAAGTGGCGAATAGAAATGAAAGACGGTGTCGCAGGAGAAGGGGGAGAGAACAAATGTTGGAGAAGAAGGGAATCGAAGAATGACAACGGGGAGTGATGGTCAAGAGTACAACAGCGGTGCCTGGGAATATATATACGGATCTACCCGGTTCCGGTGATAAGATTAGATTGCTTTTTTCGAATTCACAAAGTAACTTTCGAGTTGGTATCTAGGGAAGAGATATACAAGGACACTTGCTACCAGGCAACGTTGCTTGAAACTCTCGAATGGGATACAGTATCTCCTATAAGTTTGGGTCTGCACAGGTTATTCACCCTGTCTGCCTTACATACAAGGTATAATACAACGTTACTCCATCGTTAACCTTAAAACTGGCGGTCATAGTACGGTAGGGGATCGTCGGAAGCGGATTCTGAACCGAGAATTTGAATACCCAGTACCCTCGCGGAAAGCCTGCCGTAACTTGCGTATGACTCCGCCATAAAGTAAAGTTCTGTCAGCCAATGCTCCGAAGCCCATCGCATACTTACCTGGAACGAATCCACAAGGATAATGAGCATCTGGGCTTCTCACACTAAATAACTCTCAGTCAACTGATCCTCATCCGTGGCATCCAATCTTTGGGGCTGGACCTCGAGGCGCCGAACGAAGTGTCCCGCGGCTACACAAATGTAGGAAAATTCAACTGAATACAGCCACTGCTCTGCTATTCGTGAGAAGACATTAGCCGCTGGACGGAAAAAGAAACTTGTGCAAACTATCCGCGAGTGCCGGAGGAAACGTCGAGAAAACACCATATAGCTCGCATCCTAACTCGAACAAGATAGATTGCAGCAACTCATGACTTGCACGTTCTCCGAGCCTACTGGAAATTAAGCAGCCTTGGGTTCCGCTTTCGAACGGAGCTGCGACCTGTGCCTCCAATCCCTCAACCACTTCAGCGGCCGCCCATCCCTCTTCTCCAACGCCAAATCAATCTCCCTCAAATGCCACATCACCCACTTGTCCCTCAAATCCGTCCCCTCCACACGCACCTCTCTCGACCCCTCCTTGATACCCAACGACTTGTGGATCCTCGTCAACAACACCGTCTCCAGATCGTGTTTCCCGGCTTTCACCGACGCTGCCGCGAGGATGGAGAGCGAGACGATATCGTTCTCGAGCGGGCCGAGCTGATAGATCGGGAAGAACGCCGCGGTGAGCATGAGGTCCTCTAGCGGGGCGGAGGTGCGATGGAGAGTGTACAGGAGCTGCTGCGCAGCGGGGCGAGTGAGCTTCGCTTGGTACAGTGGGAAATTCCCGAAGACTTTGAGAGCGAGCTGGGGGCACTTGAAGTCATCGCATCGGCCTGAAAGAATCATCGTAGGTAGAAGCTTAAATGTGTATGACAATAGACTCACGAACGAACACATCCGCTGTCGAATTCTTCATCCCTCTCCCATTATATTTCGCCCAAGCCGGGATGAGATCAACAATACTCGAAAGTTGCTCCGCTGTAGTAGTCAGGTCCATGAGCCGGTTAAAGCTCGCGACTTTCACATATGGTGGATGCGTGAAATCTGGACGATTCCTTTCTTGCAGCCTCGGCGAGACAAATTCATACAAGCTGGTATACTCCGTCGCGCGCCGCGAAGCATCCATTCCCTTCCGGGGTGTAGGGGCAGCCTTTTTCGGTTTTTGCGGGGCTGTGCTTTGGGTCTTGGTTTCTTGCACTGGCGATGTCGCGTCACCAAACAAGTCACCGTCATCGGTGCTCTCGCTAAAGAGCTCGTCGGTTGGTGCTGCCTTGGCCTTGGCCAGCGCTGGGTCGGTAAGTCATTATGAGTGACGGGAAACACACAGCAGGATTACCTGAGGGTGAACGGTGAATGTACCGCCTGCATAGCAGAGATTGGCGGGCGAAGAGCCGCGCACTGAGCAGGCTAGTCATGGGAGAAAAAAAGGAAAAGGAATGAGTAACAGGTGCTGACTCAAAGGGATCAAAGAATCTTATCAGCAGATTTACAGATCTTATCTTTTCTCACAAGCCCCTGTCTTTAGCAGTGAGGAGTACATCTTCGGTTGTAGTATAAACTGATTGGCACACTCGCATCTAGCACTTGATTTTGTATCATGCTTCCTGATCTACACAAGTATACGAGGCGTCTTTGGGCCGATACATGGACATGACCATGGTAACCACCAACGAAGATCGTCCTTAGTTCGGGTCATATTGACGAGCAATGAGCATGTGTGTTCGGAGAGGTCTTAGCACCGACTGCCCCACGAAGACTTTGCGCCTTTGGGTAGCTTTTAAGCTTGCCGACGACCGTCGAGCGATGTACTGGGATGAAGCATGGTAACCAATTCAGTAGGAATCCTGCTTCGTCTGTCGTAATGTTCAAGATCCCGCGGTCAGAGGTACCCGCAGGCAACATAGCATTCCGTACATATGGACGGAGGGTGCATGCGCAGCAGCAGCAGTTAATTGAATAGATGGCCCGGTTAGTCAGGTCAAGGTCGTGAACCTGGCATTATTCCGGCGTTTGGTAGGCGTCGAGTCCCTGCGAGACGCGTGGTTGTCGCGTGTGCGTGCGGCTTCCGTATCCAAGAATCGATTTGCAGAAGATCCCGGAAACCACATCATTAGCCGAGCTCAGTTTTGAGCTCACCTCGCCGCAGCCTCCCGTTCGGTGTGCCTGCGCATGTTGATAAACTCAATGTAGAGACCCGTGTCTGCGCTATTCAGTGACTATATGTATCCTGGTACTGCGGGAGAGTGAGAGTGGTTAGCCGTCGCGGTTATTTGTTGTCGCTGCGGACTTTCGGCCCTGAAGCAGATTGGCGTAGCGGAACCGTAGGGATGACATTTTGTTAATGGAATCGGGGTCTGAAATACGGATGAGAAAGCAAGCTGCTGATAACAAATTGCGGTACGAGAGGCAACTGTAGTGACGGAATGAAATTAATACGGGGGGGCGGACAATAAGAGATCGGGCGAGCCGATGAATGAATAAAAATGTGGCGGCTAGGTTTTTGATGGCTATCATTTTGACAATAAGAGACAAAGCAAAGGAGAGACTCCGTATTTCCCGGCTGGAAGAATAGATGAAATGGCGAGAACAAGAGGAAGAGTCTCGGCCCCAGATTGGAGTACAGACGGAGGCCGTTTGCAAAGTGGCAACGTCCACGCCGGTTTCGGGGTAATGCTCGCTCGTGGTTCCTTTTGCCATGGAGATGGGTTGGAGGAAGGGGGACTGGAGGTAGAGCGAGAAAATAATGAGTCAGAGTGGGCGGTATTTGGCAAGAGATGCCGGAAGGAGGAAGCTAGGCAGGGACGCGTTGTTGTGGTGTGTTACAAGTCAAAGGTACCGGCGGGGATAGCCGAGTTTGGGTGTTTATATGTCACCGCAGCGATGAATGGACTGGAAGAGAAAATGACCCACTTCTTGGTGGGGTCGTCGTACCAGCCACTGGATGTCATCGGCGAAGGCGCATATGGCGTTGTCTGCTCAGCCATCCATCTCCCAACTCAGCGCAAAGTCGCTATCAAGCGTATCACCCCCTTTGACCACTCCATGTTCTGCCTCCGTACCCTCCGCGAAATCAAGCTCCTCCGCCATTTTCACCACGAGAACATCATCAGCATCCTCGATATCCTTCGTCCACCGTCTCTCCAGGACTTTACAGAAGTTTATCTCGTCCAGGAGCTCATGGAGACTGATCTTCACCGTGTCATCCGGACCCAGGAGCTCAGTGACGACCATTGCCAGTACTTTATATACCAAGTTCGTACCCCTGGGCTTTGTGTCTTTGATCCATCCTCATCTCTACCTAGACTCTCCGAGCACTCAAAGCTCTTCACTCGGCAGACGTGCTCCATCGCGATCTCAAGCCATCCAATCTCCTTCTCAACGCCAACTGCGATCTCAAGGTTTGTCATCTCCAAATCCTCCCCCTTTTCCACTCTCACCATCCCCCAAGCTCTGCGACTTTGGCCTCGCCCGCTCGGCCCGGCCCCCGCCCAACGTCGACGACAGCAGCACCTTCATGACCGAATACGTCGCCACTCGATGGTACCGGGCCCCAGAGGTCATGCTCACCTTCAAAGAATACACCCGCGCCATTGATATGTGGTCCGTCGGCTGTGTTCTCGCAGAGATGCTCAGCGGAAAACCCCTCTTCCCTGGTCGCGACTACCACCACCAGCTCTCTATCATTCTCGACATACTCGGCACACCGTCAATAGACGACTTTTATGCCATATCATCCAGCAGATCCAGAGAGTACATCCGTGCACTGCCCTTTCGGAAGAAGAAGAGCTTTTCCTCATTATTTCCCAAGGCTAATCCACTCGTCAGTCTTTGTCTTTATTCCCCTTCAACTGCTTACTCAATATCATCCAGGCCATTGACCTCATGGAAAAATGTCTAACATTCAGCCCTAAACGTCGCATCGAAGTCGGCGAAGCACTGAGGCATCCATATCTTCAGGTACACCTCCCACCTTCACCTTCCTTTCCCATCTCACGTCCCTTCTAGCCTTACCACGACCCACAAGACGAACCGACGGCAGAACCCCTCGATCCTTCCTTCTTCCACTTTGACAACGGTGCCCCCATGCGAAAAGAAGAACTCAAAGGTCCGTACCTTGTAACATGTTCTCGGCTCCATCTGACCAACTTGAAACAGTACTAATATATGAAGAAATAACGCGCCCCTCAGGCCCTGACGCTCCTTTCCCTCTCGGCACTTCGTATTCATGATAGATACCATAATTTGCAGGGCTTTTTATGCGTCCGCGCTCTTATATATATTGGGGCTTGTACTGATGTATTGAAGATATGATACCAATTATTACGCTTATTCTATTGCCGCCCAGGGGCGAAATATGCATTATTTTACTTGCTCGAGAGAACTTTTGCGATGCTCTGACATGTCATCAGATGGTGGACATCCCTCGCCAACACACTGAAAAGAACCGGTCATTCCGGTCACGATGAGACTGTCAAACTCCCGCTGAGTCGATGTGATCCTATATGATGATCATCCATTATACCGGGAAGCTACACGTAAAACAAATCCAGATCATAATCAAGACGTTACAACTCCTCCGTAAACTTGCTCTCGACCTTGCCGTCCTCGTCCTGAGCATGCGGAGCCTGTCCTTCAGGTGCCTTCTCCATCTGCCGCTTACTTGGCCTTCTCGAAACATCAGCCCCTTCATCCTTCTCGACCGGATAGCCATTATGATCTTTCTTGTCAATCTGATGAAATTTTTAGCAAGTTGCGACACTAGAAGAATCAAAACCCACAGGATAACCATCTTTCTCCGGGTGTGAATAGCTTGGAGGATTGATATCTTCCCCGACGTCCTCGTATTCTTCTTCTTCTTCGTCCTCTTCTTCTTCAACGCTGCTACCCTCTTCTTCTTCCTCCTCTTCACTGACGTACCCCGCAGCCCGAACGGCAGCAGCAACGGGTCCACTCCTCTCCATCTGCTCACTAGCCACCAGATACCTTGCACACAGCATCCTTATATCATTCCACCACTCCATCATATCCTCTCGGCTGCGAGAACGAAAACTCCACGCATGTTGGCCGGTGCCTTTCAAGAAACCTCCGCTCTTCGTCGTCCCCAAACCATCTTTACGTCCCTCAATATGGAACTTGTGACTCTTGCTCAAATTCGAACTCGGAGGGCCAAGCGTGCACGCAGGAAGAAATAGCGAGAACATGGGTGTCTGAGCTTCATGAGGATCACTTGACGCGTATTCATGCAGGAATCCAGCCGGGGTAAGGACAAAGTAGCTTTCGCGATACGTCCTAGTAAACCGCTTCTTGCGTTCAAGTAACCCCGTGTGCACTGCGATGACGCTCGGGTCTTCTTTACTGGGATACATGATAGTCTCTTGGTTGCGCAAAGGCGTGTCGGGATCGAGGAGATGATCGGAACGTGCACTGAACGTAATCCATTCCCTGTCGGGAGCGAGGGATGCCATCTGTGTTCCTAAATTTTGCCATGTATCTTGCACAGATGATGACATGCGCGACTGCCATTCGTCGAACGTCTGCCAAGCGCTCTGAATGGCACGCACTATGCCTTCTTCAAAAGTTGCTGAATTTTGTTGCATAATGATAATGGATTTCTGAAGGAGGTTCTCTTCATGTACTTGCTTCTGGAGTTGGCGGATGACAGCAGTGTTGGATACGAACCTGAAAGCTGTGTTGAGCATCAACATGAATTGAACATGCAGCCAACGCACGGATCAGTTTTGGCCGTAACGTTCATAGGCGTGTTCTTGTATGCAGAGATATTGGTGGCGAGCTCGGCAATGTAGCGCGTCGAAAGTTCCCTCTCTTTTGCAACGCTAGTTGCCAATCTTCCTGTATCGTTTTGGACATTCTGCAGGTTGTCAATGAATAATTCAACAGTGATGCATGTATGACACACCTTTATGTGGGCCTTAATCTCCGTTCTAAGCTTCTGCAAATGCTGAACAATAGAACTATCGATGGTCCTTCCAAGATTCGCATGTTGGTCTGCGATGACACGCGTCTTGTCGCGAATGCCGTAGTAGATATCCTGACATGAATCAGCTTCTAAAGCGTAGCCCAGCAGTACAACAAGCATACCTGAAGTCCACCCTCGCCCAAGAACTGGTTACCAGCTCGAAATGGAACCTGAATGACAGCGCCCAACTTTGTCAACTCTTTCGCAGTGTTGTTCTCGATGTCTGCGACACCCTGCGAGTCATCAGTCACAGCACGCAGTCACAGCGAGAAAGCCAAACCTCAAAATAAGCAATGAGCTGCTTGACGATGGCCTTCCACGCCACGAATCGCTCAATGAGCACGTCGGACGGCTTCAAATCATGAGGTGCAACGTTTTTCTTGATGAGTGACTGGTTGCGAGATATAGTTGAGCCGTTTCTACTAGCCCGAGAGACGGACGTCGCGCGCGAAATCGAGGCCGATTCGTTCATGTCGAACTGGTGGTGGCGGTAATGAGCAAACGTTGACTACGCAGGGTATATATCACTGTCAGGGTGGAGACTCAGACAGCGGTACGGAAATGACATCACCGTTT